ACTACAGGAACTTGTTTACTAGCAACTGATTTGAGAACACGTAACAAATCTGATGTAAATCTACGCATTTGAGCTTTATGAGCTAAAGTCATAAATCGTTTATTTCCTTCCCCAAATACCTATTATACATCCAAAATGTTTAAGTTAGACTGCATTTTATTATTAGCTAATTCAATATATGAGATAAGTCAAAATAATAATAAAAGATAATTTCATTAATTTAAATTTATAACTAGTTTGTTAAAGAAGGGTAATTTTTAATCAATTTTTTAAAATAAATACTATATACTGTATAAATACAGCTTAGAAATTATAGATTTTATTTTTGTCTTATTATAAAAATTCTTAGCTTTCACTGAACCAATATTACTGATCTATACATCAAAAGAATCCAAATTATATCTAGTTGTAGACTTAAAATATCTAAAAAAAATTATAATCATTAAAAACAGCCATTTTCACAATTCAAAATTACTATACTTTTTTGGATTGAAACAAAATCTTTATCATCATATATATTGGGGACAATAATGTTTTTTTTAATGCTATTTTAGAAAATCTAACAAAAGCCTACATTTATATTTACCTCACTTTGTCCTAATAGTGAAACTATGTAAGTGTAAACAATTTTTTTAGTAATTCTATTAATCATAATAATTTAAAGGAAATGTGTTGATGGTGAAAAGTACATACATAATGATTGATTTATCTTAACCACAACATTTCTCCTTAAATAATAATAATTTAGAAAATTTTTATCTAAAACAAGTAAACATTTTCTTCTTTTTCCTCGCTTTTATCCCCACTACTTGGGATCAGCCACCTTAATCTTAAACTACCACTTGACACGATCTCCCACATCAGCCTATCTCATATCGTATTCAATAACATCCCTCTATCTTTTTTTTAATCTTCTTCAACCTCTTTTTCTCAACATTAATTTCTATAACTGTTCTTATAGTTTCAGATTCCTCTTTCCTCATAACATGACCAAACCATCTTAATCTATTTTCTCGCATCTTATCCACAGTTAATACTACACCTATAGTCCCTCTTATATATTTGTTCCTTATCCTATCTTCTCTAGTTACTCCGCTTATCCATCTAAGAATACTCATTCTTCGCTCTTTTCTCTTGTTAATCTCTGAACCATACATTATAGCTAATTTCATTATAGAACTTACCTTTCAGCTTCATTGGAATTCTCTTATTGCATAACACACCAGACGCTTCTTATCACATCACTCACCCACACTTAATCATGTGTCTTACACCCTTGTCAATCCTTTGTTCTTTTGCACAACTGATTCTAAATGATTAAAACTTTCCACCTCTCCTATCACGTCTTTGCTCATTGTTACTGATTTCCTAATTTCACCTACCCCATATTCTCCTTTGTCAAACTCGTACTATATATACTTTGTCTTATTCCTACTTATTGTAAATCCCTTTCCTTCGAGAGCTGATATCCACACCTTTAGCTTTTGATTAATTTCTTTCCTATTTCCTCCTATTAACACTATATTGTCAGCGAACAACATGAACCACGGTACCTCTC